ATCTCTTTCATTAGTTAAATCAGGATAGACTATTTGAGTATCTGAAACATAAGATGGAAGAAAACACAGCTCTTGGAGAAGCAGAACTCTTCAGGACACTTGCTTTCAACAGAAATAAAAGTTATTTATTAGGTTTTATGGTTTAATAAAAAGTGGCTTATCGTGATTTATAAAGCATTCTGAAATCTTTAGTTGGGCATTTCAAAATGTAGGTTGATTATATCCATATTTAGAGAGAGAAAAATTATATTAGTCAAGCCCAAAGGACATGCAGAATTTGTAACCAAAGTTTATTTGGATATTTCTAGTAATTGCTAGCATATAATAGCTTCAACTGGATTTAAATAAAATTCTGATCATCTCATAGCAATTATTGCATAGGAAGAAAATTATTTATTGCAAGGCCTAATAGGCAGAGGCAGAATATATTCTGCTGTGGATAGACACTGCAGTGCAAACAGGCAGCTTTTTTCTAAAGCATGTATGTCTATGTGTTCAATGTAAATGCATGTAAATAGCTCAATTTTAACATTTTATTATTGTTCAAACAGTTTGCCAAGGAATACTCAGTAAATAATTTAAAGCTCTCCAAGAACATATCTTTCTTCTAGTTTTTTATTGGTTATAATTTGGCACTCTAGATCCTTCTGGTTATAGGGCTTGGCTCTATCTAATCTAAAAATCTCGTTTAGAAACATGCTTTATTATTTTTTTTTAAAAAATCACCAACACTGTTCTTTCTAATATTTGTTTATAAAACATCCCAACTTGTAAATATCTAAAGAGGAATTCAAAGGCAACTTCACCCTCCCAGTGTATTCTAACACGCACTGGTTTTCATGCATTTGCTAATATTCAGGGAGAGGAATGCAAGAGAAAAAGCTCCCTTGTACTGGCAGGGCTCCATCATGTACCATGTTGTTACTCCTTGCTAGACTTGGAATTAGGCCCGCTGAAGAATTACAATGGAGGTAAAGGGCATAGTTGCTTCACTACTTAAATCACTATTTTATTAATTCATGTATGCACATCTAACCTAATTCCAAAAAGACTTTAAGGAAACTCCACACCCAAAAAACAAATAATCCAGTGGAGAAATGGGCAGAAAACATGAATAGACACTTCTCTAAAGAAGACATCCAGATGGCCAACAGGCACACGAAAAGATGCTCAATGTCACTCCTCGTCAGGGAAACATAAATGAAAACCACACTGAGATACCACCTCACGCCGGTCAGAGTGGCTAAAATGAACAAATCAGGAGACTATAGATGTTGGCGAGGATGTGGAGAAACGGGAACCCTCTTGCACTGTTGGTGGGAATGCAAACTGGTGCAGCCGCTCTGGAAAACAGTGTGGAGGTTCCTCAAAAATTAAAAATAGACCTACCCTATGACCCAGCAATAGTACTGCTAGGAATTTACCCAAGGGATACAGGAGTGCTGATGCATAGGGGCACTTGTACCCCAATGTTTATAACAGCACTTTCAACAATAGCCAAATTATGGAAAGAGCCTAAATGTCCATCAACTGATGAATGGATAAAGAAATTGTGGTTTATATACACAATGGAATACTATATGGCAATGAGAAAGAATGAAGTCTGGCCTTTTGTAGCAATGTGGATGGAACTGGAGAGTGTGATGCTAAGTGAAATAAGTCATCCAGAGAAAGACAGTTACCATATGTTTTCACTCTTATGGATCCTGAGAAACTTAACAGAAGACCATGGCGGGAGGGGAAGGAAGAAAAAAGTTAGAGAGGGAGGGAGCCAAACCGTAAGAGACTCTTAAAGACTGAGAACAATCTGAGGGTTGATGGGGGGTGGAAGGAGGGGAGGGTGGGTGATGGGCATTGAGGAGGGCACCTGTTGGGATGAGCACTGGGTGTTGTATGGAAACCAATTTGACAATAAATTTCATATTAGAAAAAAAGGAGGGTCCTTGTGACAATGTGACAGCAGCAGTGAAGAGCGGCTTTTATTACTCCATCCTCCAGGGCCATCATGAGCCTTGGTGCTCATCTAATTAAGTTTCTAAAACGTGGACACATTTGTCAGAAACTTCCCTTTTAATATCTAGCAGCCGGCACTACATGGGTGGGAGAGTTCCCAACAGAGCCTCCAACCATCACAGTGGGCTTTGTCGTAAGCATGGCAGTGCCGGTGTGGGTCTGCTGAACATCAGTCCCGCACGTGCAGATGTCCAAGGGTTAGCACACGCCTGATGGCCGCAGAAATTCCAAAGCATCTGAGAAATGAACAATAAGGATGAACGGAGACCGTGGGCTTAGTGTAGCAAAGCATTTGCCAGGCTTGCGGGGAGACAAGAGTCTCAGAGGAGGCGTGGAAAGAGAAAGATAAGAAAAATGGACGATTTGATGTCCTCGAGGTTAAATCAGTTAGCTGTACTAAAATACTGGATTCCCAAAGTTCCCCAGGAGCCAACGGAATCCAAGCTTTCATAGCTCCCCTTGGCAGATGAGTGCTGGGATGGTGCTGAAGATGAAAATGACCCTCTACAGCTCTTCGAGGGATATTCATTTGAATCCTTTTACTTTGGGTCAGGCAGTAGAATCAGCTCTTGCTGGATCTGCATCATTGATGCTACGTCTAAACAGAAGTCAGCAGAACCTTGCCGGTTTCCAGGCACCCTCAGATTTCTGCCAGCATGGGGGTTCAGAAGGCTTTGTTATTACAGACTGGCCCGCAGCAGCAATTCCTTCCATGTTGGAATGTTCTTGCACATGCTTGCTTCTAACTTCTCTGTCTAGAGCAGTAGCTTTGCCAAGATGCTTATTGTTTTTCAAGAGGATCTACCAGGGAAACCTCAGAAGCCATGGGCTTCAACCCATCAAAATGTTTTAACAACATGTTTTTCTTTGGGAAAAGTAAAACTCATGCGTGAAGTTCAGCCATGCATGATAAGTCCGTGACTCTGGAATGGCAGAAAGTATCTACTGAAGTAGCAAGCACTGTCTTTCCGGAACTGTTCAGCCCCAGTGGCTTGGATGGAGTCCTGACAGAAGACAGCATTTCTTTCAGGAGGGGAAGTGGAATTGAGTTTCAGCCTCCAGCACATGCTTATGAAGAAACATTGAGTCGTGACATGACAATGGGTACAAAGCTTTGCCAAGAAAGGAAACTTCTTGACATTCTGAAGAGGTTACCTGCCTCTGATGTTTACACACGAGGCTCACATAGAAATTTCCCATGTTGCCCAGATGCATAAAATGGGAGACATCCGGCATCTGTCAGAAGCAGTGTTTTGGAGTGGCTTCCAATATCAGAAGAGGCAGGAGCATGTTGCAGTGGACGATGTCATGGGACAGAGGTATGCTGTCATTTTCTTTCTGGTTTAAGCCATCAGTCACCTCAGCCTTTTGCATGTGGTCGAATTTCCTTGGCAATGAGGTAAGCCACCAAAGAGGGTTTGTGTTGGGGCAAATCCAAATTTCAGTAAAATCCAATTCTTTTGAAATCATGAAATGGACGCATCATGTGCACAGCACAAGGTGCTGCTTTAGTTCTGTTGGCCTCGTGCTCCCATTGGCACGGCCTTCATGCCCAGAAGCGCCATGATGTTTTCCATCACACGTATTGAGTCCTTTCTCTCAATATGAAAGTAGGGATGGGGGTTCATAACCATAATGGCAAGGTGCATTTTCAATTATTTAACTTACCCCAAAACGGTCCTACACATCATAATATCTGATAATAATAGTTTTACCTTTAATGACCCATATTAGTTTGGTGTGAACCATCATTTTAATAGCACTGTAAACTTAACGACGATATTCTTCCATGAGGACAATTCTCCACTTAGAGAAATGAAAACAAAACAAAACAAAAGGAACTGGGGTCTAGTTCTATTTTAGCTAAGAGTGCAAAAGAAATGTGACAATAATCTTGAAGGGTGTACCTTTAAGAAAATACGCTGAGGCTGAGAGTCTTGACCTCACATTGAACCAAAATTGATGCCTCTCAGCTTGGGTAATGTATTTTCTTAAATAAACAAGATCACATATACCTCATGAGCACAGCTACAAGGAAGTTTTAGAATCAAGACAGAAGGAAGATCAGTAGCATCACGGAGGATTAAGAGACCCTTTTCTTGAGTCAACTTTGCAATCCGTTTGCCAAACGCTTGCAGGGGAACTTTGATGAACCCAAACCGGAATATCGCCAACAATATGGGTCACCAAGAGGAGTAATCCGAAATCCCATCTTGAGGCCACTTCTGTTGTTAGCATTCCAACAAGTAAAACTGCACATTTCGGAGGTGAGGGATGAGAGTGATGGCATTCACACGGATTTTACTGCATTCACACGTATTCCAAGAAAGGTACTGCTAAATGCTTACAAGTTCTCACTCTTCAAATCCTCGTGGCTCTCTGAGGCGCTACTCTAGTGATCTCCACTTTACAAAGCTCAAAAGTTCTACGTTCACAGAAAGGCTTTCTCTCATGTTCACGTTCGAAAAATTCCCTAACATGTAATCATATCACCTGGGAACGTGGACTAGGCATACATTTTTTTTTTCAAGAAAATAACTGTTAAGTACACTAAGACCTCTCTTGTTAAGTACACTAAGACCTCTCTTCCTAGCCACGTTATAAACAAGAATATCCACCTTCCTAACGGTCACTCACGTATTTTGTCCTTTTATCAATTTTTGTTAAATGCCATTTTAATGATGACCTATAGGTATTGTAAGATGCTGAACCACTTCCAAATCAAGGGACAGAACTGAAATATGGTCATAGAATTTTAGGAGGGTAATGGTTCCTGGATTCTAATGCTCTAATTTGGCTACTCCATGTGTGTGAAATTGGATGATCCGTGGAGTCCCTTGTTCCGCACATGCGTACAGGGACCTGCCCACGGTGTGAGCCCTCTGAGAGGCCCTGCTCAACCATACTTGGTTAGCACTTTTGCTACCATGCTGGATAATGGTGATGTCACCTTGAGAGGCGGGCGTGCTGTTAACAAGGATGCTCACCTGTGACCAGCTCCCGGATCTCCAGGTCGGTGGTCTTGCGGAGTAACCTCACCAGTGCTGGGATGCCGCCGCAGTTTTTCAGGGCGATTTTGTTATCGTCATTGGCCTTCCCATACACCAAGTTTCTCAAGGCCCCACAGGCACTACGGTGGACCTCCGTCATCCGGTGATCCAGCAGGTCCACCAGGAGCTGGATGCCTCCTTGTCTCCTTATCTGCAAGAGCACAGGGAACAACTTTTGCCTTAGAGAGTCAGAAGCTGTCGCCACGTAAACTAAAACAGGTTTTTTCCCCGTGAAGCTGTTGCTACAATGCATTTCACTGAACTGAATTAAAGCCCACAAAGGAAAAAGCAAGCAAACCCGTGTTCTCCTTAGATGTGATTGCCTCACTTTGATGAATACCCCAGCGGTAAAACGTCAAACATACTTCCTTTCGAGTTCTAGATTTTAAGAAAGGTGATTGTAACTTCATAATGGGTGGACATTTCTCTATAAAAATATGGCACATACTCACTGCATGAAGTAGATAGGAGGACGAAAGATGTTTCTCACTCCTAAGACTTAATTACATTTAACCTCTGTCTTAACGGGCTGTGGGATTGATGTGCAAAATGTTAAAATTAGGCTTAGTTGGAAAATTCTCTCAGCATTTCAAAGGAACCAGAAGCAAATGAGAAACCAGAACGGACACAAGGACTCTCATCTAAGAAGCTCGGGAAAGTAAGAAAGTCACAATTAGAGCCGGTCGGAACACTAAGACCAACGCATGGCATGCTTAACTCAGGTATTAGATTAATTAACAAAGTCACATTAATTTCTGATGTTCTTGTTAGCCAAAATAGTTTTGATTTTTTTAAAATAAGTACATGGGAAAAAAAAAAAAAACTCCTTGCAGTATGTTTCTAGATGAGTCTTCTCGCTGTCCTTTAAGTTTTAGTCCGATTTTTAAATTAAGACTGAAACAAATGGGTTTGTTAACAGACAGACTGTTTCATGGAGTTTTCATTAGCAAAGCTGTATTTGAATATTTCTGCATTTATATGAAAAAAAGAACACAGCTCCTTCAGTAATACTGTCTTCTTTTTTTGAATTCAACGTCCCTCAGGGATTGAAAAATTATGGTTTGGCAAGAACCATTATAATTTGGCACTTTCCCTATTCAGTTGTCTTATCACAGAAAACTCATTCATCCCATAGATGTGCCGAGCACATGGCTAAACCCCCACCCTTTCAAACGTGTGAAAATGTGACTTTCTTTGTGAAGCGACTCCACACACACTATTTAAAACTGCACCCTGATCCGTACCCCTCCCCGATCCAGTTCTTGTTTTCCCTTAATCCGTTACGGAATTCTTCATATCCCTTGTCAGGTTCTAACTTCTTTATTATGTACCCTGTCGGGGACTGTCTGCTAGAATCTTGGTTCTTGGAGGGCGAGTCTGCTTTTTTTTTCCTTTTCTTTCTCAGTATTTATTTATTAAGGTTTTTTAAAAAAAATGTTTGTTATTTTTGAAAGACAGAGAGAGACAGAGCATGAGCTGAGGAAGGGCAGACAGAAGAGGGGGAGACACAGAATCTGAAGCAGACTCCAGGTGCTGAGCTGTCAGCCCAGAGCCCAACATGGGGCTTGAAGTGAGGAACCGCGAGATCATGACCTGAGCCGAAGTCGGAAGGTCAACCGACTGAGCCACCCAAGCACCCCGATATTGATTTATTTATTTTGGGAGAGAGAGAGAAAGAGAGAGAGAGAGAGAGAGAGAGAGAGAGAGTGAGTGGGGGAGAGGGAGGGACAGACAGAGAGGAAGAGAGAGAATCCCAAGCAGGTTCCATGCTGCCAGCGCAGACCCTGATGTGGGACTCGATCTCATTATCTGCGAGATCATGACCTGAGCTGAGATCAAGAGCTGGACACTTAACCAACTGAGCCACCCAGGTGCCCCAGGGCAAGTCTGTTTTTGTTCCCTGAGGGATCTCTTACCCTACCCCAAGTGCAGTGCCAGGCACATAGCAGATGTTCAACAAATATTTGTCGAGTGAATGAGGAGGGAGACTCTATTACCTGTGACAGCAGTGTTTCTCAGATTTGTTGGAACTTGACTTTTCGAAACTGAGTAATATCCCTCGTTTAAGGGGGGGGGGGCGAATAAACAAAATGCTTTCTGTGTACAAATGTCTCCAGTGGCTACCGCAGCTCATTATACCAGCTTAGAGATAAAATGAGGGTATGCATCATTCACAGGGAGTGGGCCATCAGATAAATCCGAATATGCTGTAGGAATTACTTTCATCCACCAACAAAACGAAAACAGGAAAAGCTGCAATTCCCCCAGAACTCCTGGCCTCAAAGTCCCTAATCTGGGAAACGAATATGGTGTTTCACATATGTCATGTCTCGGCAGAGCAGGACCAGGGACAGAAGAGGGAAGGACAAGGGGCGGGGCTGTTAGGGAGGGCTTTAGCTTCTGTGACGTTCCTGCACAGCTGGTGGTAGTAGGTACAACCCAGGGAAAGTGGCCAAGCATGTCAGTGGGTCCACTAAAAATGCGAGAAGGAAGCAGCAAACAACTTTCCCCTGATGTACAGTTTTACCAGTGCTTGCTTGGTGCCCACTCAAGAGAGATAAAGTTTGTAATCACTGTGACCATGTCCCGTACATGCATCTGGGTGACAGCCACACCCACTGTATCATAATATTTCAGAAAGGATATTCCATTTGTACAAAAGTTTAAACTATAAGTATTGTTTTCTGTATGTGTGTTTATTTGCATGTGTGTGCTTTACTTTAAAATTATTTGGGTTTAATGACCTTAATAATGATGAAACCATTAAAAAAGAGTTAATAAAACCATTTCTACAATTGACTGGTTATAATTAAAAGCAGTTGGTGTAGTAAATCTATCTATCTCTATGTTTTAGCTATATTGTATAATTAGTATTTAATTTTTAACATATTTCCCATTCATACAACTTAGTGAATTAAGCTATTCAAATATTATTCCAAAGCATTAAAAAGGAAAAAGAATTCAAAACAAATGCAATATCAATGCTTAATGGTTCCATGCGAACACAATGTTTTCGGTGTGGCCCTAATTAATGCCATAGTTCTAAATTTATAATGAAGTCTTAAGTTTTATTTTCATCTACTTAGAGAAACACAAATGAGATGATAAGCTTTTTCTTTTGCTCTTATTTTTTTTTTGGCGGGGGGCCGGCGGGGGGGTCGTGACCAGATGGTACACATAAAAAGCTCTTGTTTTCTTGTGTTGAATTTTATCTAAGAATTTTGGAATCCTGAAGTCAAACATTAGTCAGAACTGAGTTCACACACATGAGATGTGATGGTCAGGCCCTTGGTTCTGCCTCCTCCTGTTGTCTCCCACGTCCCAAAAGGACCAGGAAGGAAGCGAGAGGTGGACTTTGAGTTCTCTTGAAGGGTCTCTATCCATGGCAGGACTTCTGGGTGCTGTGGATTGCTGTGGATGGGTCCGGGTGCTGTTCTCCACACTTCCCCCCTGCTTTGTCTTTCCCCTGGATCCTGCCTCCCATCAACTTCTCTTGGCACCTGATTCTTCTTGTTTCTGCTTGTACCCAACCTTAATTTCTTATAAGACTCCAGATAAACCTATGTTAAACACTAATAAAGTACAAGTTCCCTTTGAAAAACGATTGGGGGAACTCTCTTCTTCGAAATGACACTTGTATTTTCTCTCCCACTAAATGGCCAGCAATCTCTTTTCCATGTATGCTCCCCACTGGGCACTCCACACCCAGCAGGCAGAGGCCTTTGTTCCCCCCCCCCCCCCACACTGTCATTCCAGGCCAGTTCACTGTCTCCCCTTTCTCACTCCATCATCCTCATGGAGAAGTCTTCCAAAGTCTACATTTAATATTTACTAAAATAGGGCTCATAAAATGTCATACCATATCATACGTATCTGATATATGTAAAATAGAATAAAATAAAATGCACAAGAAGGACATCTGCCACATGGAAGGAAGTTAGGAACTATTTATCAGATGAATGGAAGAATCGTGCGCTAGGTCGTCACATGATAGCTTCCTTCTCCCTCTTATTTTTGCTAATATAGAATAGACATTATTTTTAGAGCAGTTTTGCACTCAGAGTAAAACTGAGCAGTAAGTACAGAGAGTTCCCATGTGCCACCTGCCCCCACACATACACAGACCTCCCCATTGTAAAACTCACTGAGTAGCAATGATGACCCTACACCGACACATCACAATCACCTGAAGCCAATGGTTTATATTACAGTTCCCTCTCAGTGTTGTAGGTGCTGTACATTCTGTGGGTCTTGATAAATGTATAATGACATGTAACCACCATTACAGTATCATCCAGAATGATTTCACTGCCCTAAAGTGCTCTGTGCTCCACCAATTCCTTCCTTCCTTACCCTAACCCCCGAAACCACTGATTGTTTTTTAATTTTCTCCATGGTTTGGCCTTTTCTAAAATATCACAGCTTTAGTATCGTTTGGTATCTAGCCTTTACAGATTGGCTTCTTACAGCCAGTAATACACATTTAAGATTGTTCTCATGTCTTTTCATGGCTTCACAGCTCCTTTCTTTTTAGTGTTGAATAATACCCCATTGTGTGGATGTACCACACTTTATATATCCACTCACCTGCTAAAGGACATCATGGTTGCTTCCAAGTGTTGCCAATTATGAACGAAGCTGATATACACAATCGTTTGCATGTTATTGTGTAGACATAACTTTTCAAATCCTTTGGGTGAATACCAAGGAGCACAATTGCTGGGTCATCTACTAGGAGTATGTTTAGTTTTGTAAGAAACTGATAAACTGTCTTCCAAAGTGGCCGTACCATTTTGCATCCTACTAGAAACGAATGAGAATTCTTGTTCCACATCCTTGTCAGCATTTGGTATCGTCAGTTTCTTGGCTTTCGGCCATTCTAATAGACTGTGGTGGTATTTCATTGTGCTTCCTTGTCTTGCAAGGCTGACCCGTGATTCAGATTTACTTACATTAATACAAATAACTGAATAAAAACCAACAATGTTGAAATACATAAAGGGAAAGCAATAGCTCGAGTTAGACCTGGAATAAATTTCCTATCTGCTACTTTCCTGAACTTAATAGATTCAATGAATGACCGGAAAGGCCTTTTGATACATAACCTGAGTAGACAATCTTAAATTCGTTTCTTAAATGATTCTCTGCTAG